CAAAATAATTACTCAATACTTACTGCTGAACATTATCCACTTAAATTAAATGTTACAAAATCACGGAGATTTAACATAACGAATGGCACTGAGAAGTCCGCTTTCGAAGATTTGGCACCAAAAGGTATGCACGTTAAAAACACAGCGCGTTCAATCATTCAAAAGACCTTGAACCTGTGCCGCAATCTAATTTAATATCGCGGTACAACATCAGCAAATCAATGGAAAGAGATGCCGGGGTTCCTTCGCTATAAAAATTCATCATAAGAAATTTTCGATTTACCGCGGGATGAAGGCCTCTCCAAGACTTCGCCATAGATTTGTTTTTTCATACATTGTGATTCAGCGAACAACTTCGGCTCATCCTGCCATCGATCTTGAGGCCTGCCTACCGACTGCTGTTTATTCTTTTTCAGAACCCAAAAAGGTTTCTCTGGCAGTTTCCCGGATACGAACATTTTCAGTCTTCCAAAAGTATCCCATTCCATTTTTATTTTTCTGTTGATTTCATATAATCAGTTCTGTACAGAATTATCGATACAGATTCGTCATGCCACGCATCTATCAGCTTTCTACAGTTTTACGCAATCGTCCTCCAGAACTTCCTCTCCTACAAAGTTCTGCCTCAAAGGGAATCTCTACAGCGGTTTATCGCAGTCTGAGCTAACCATGTAAGTCGCTAAGGAGCCAGTATCCCGAAGTGTTCGCATGACTACAGCTAATATTTGCAAGCGAAGCTAACCCAACGCATTTCAAACGTTGGCGGTGTCTGTGACATATGAATTTTCAAAGTATACATTATTTGATCTACACCAATGCATCAAGGCACTGTTGACGCTGTCCATTCATCACAGCATGAGAAATGACATCCAAAAATCCAGAAGGTACAACGAACACTGAATTCTCTTGCAAAACAACAGGACGACTCAGCCGTTTCTGTCTAATTACCTTTCATTCTTTTTTGGTCTGATTTCTTCTGACCCGTTATTATGCTAAGCTTTGCTGCGTTGAACATAATAACAGCATAATTCCAGTATCAACTCGATGTTTCAGTGCTACCCTTTCTCAGTGGTGGTCGGTCTCTTGCTCTCTATATATCCCCCTTTTCACAGAAACAAACCACTTCATGGCTCCATTCAGTAGTAAAACCAATTCGTTACCGACAGATGTAATCCTACTTGAAGGCAGATCTATCCGTGAAAAGAAACTTTGATCTCAAACTCGGAGGAGAGGATTGGGGACATAACTCTCTATTTCTAAAGAAAGCACGGGAAAATCTTATACTCATGTTGCTGAGCATCTAAGAATAGAACGTATTTCAATGCATTGTTAGCAACAA